ATTTTTATTATTTTATTATATTTAAGTATATTTTTATTGAGATATATATCTATATTTAGTTAATTTATAGTGTAGCAGGTAGTTAGTTATAGTAAATTAATTTTGTATAAATAGAAATGCTTTTTGGTTATAAATAAAGAAATCAACTTAAGTCCATACAAATTACTTTTCCCTTCAACATTGTCCTTCACCTAGGATTATTATGATACTTTACACTAACTTGCTATTGAGTTCATCATTACGAGTTTGATTAAATATCTTTAAATTTTAAAACATAATAAATTGCTGAGTTAATTCAAGTATAGCGAATACCTGTAGGACTTAGAGAAAATTCTAAGGTCAGAAACTCTAATGAGTAGAATCAACTATCACAGCCTTTCAACTTAAATGTTAAGATAAATAAAAATAAACTTAGTGACAACATTAAAGCAACTATAAAGATACATTGTCTTACACCTATTTTGAAGACAAACCTGAGAAAGAATGTCTCCTTCAGGATTTATATGCTTAAGAACTACTGGATATAATAACTAGAGCCTTATACATCTTTTTAAAGAGCCAGAACCTTATGCATTTTTCAAATATCATTATGTAACTATTTTAAAGATAAAACCAGGGAAAGAACATATTTTCTCAGGATTTATGAGCTTAAGAAATACTAGACTTATAAAACACACTAAAAAATAAAAAATAAAAATTCATATTTACTTTTCGCAAAGCTCAATTGATAAAAAACTACACGCTTTAATCTAAAAAAATTTATATGCATTTTTTAACTGACACAAATCATTTGAATAATTTTAATTTTAACTTCTCACGTCATTTTTCATATTACACGGTCTAGAATTCAGAATCATCAGATAAATAGATCTATTAGATAAATCTGATTTTCAATTTAAGTATAGATCAGATAAATCTGACTTCGATTTGATTATTGGTCAGATATATATTGTCAATTAAATTTAAAAATTTTTTTTTTATTAAAATTATATGATTTAATTTGTTCAAAGCATAGCTGAGAACATTTTTAGTTAAACACATTGTGATGCAAGGTATATTTATCTGCACGCGTGATCATCTAATAATATGCATTGTTGTGTTATCATAAGGTTTGATTTTCTTATTTACATCATCTTACTTTATTGTAACATGACACATTTTTAATTTTAGTTTTTGTTCTTAAATTATATTAAAGATATTAAAAATAATTAAAATTGATATAAAGATATGAAAGTTGGATGATAAATATATAATAAAAATAAAAAAGGAATACAAGATGCGTTAAGACTACTACAAAATTTATATTTATATGGTATTTTTTCTTTATAGAGTCTACCAAAGTTTCAAAGTTTGATGTATCAAATCTGAAGTTTTTTGTTGAATCAGCTTTATTTTAAACTATAGAATATTAATAAAAAAAATCTTGATATACTAAAGTTTTCTATATACTGAAGTTTTGAATCAAAACGAAGACTTCAGTATATCGAGAGTTGACTGTACTTGTATTATCCTTAAATTATATTAACTATTAAGATCAATCTTAGCTTTTTTTATTTATTGTAATTGTACTTTGATACAAATAAAGTTTCTTACAAATAAAAAGATTACTTTTATTATTATATAAATTAAATAAAGAAAATAAAGAACCGTTTTTTATTGAATAAGTTATTAAATATGTAATAGTTGTTTTACTTAAGATTTATAACTGTTGTTTTACTTTGTGAAATAGATGTTTACCCCCTTCGTAATACATTTCGAAAATGTAAAACTGAGAAAATGAAATATCTAATCAATGTCAATAATGTCTGAATCATAATAAAGTTTCTAAGCATATAAAAAGGATGGCTGAAAATGCTGACAAATGTGAGAATCAACTAAATAATAATTGTGTACAAAAGTGAAAGAGATTGAATTGGCTTAATGATTGCATCAATTGTCAGAATGCTGCTTGTTCGCATATTATTGACAACTATTGTCTTTCTGATTCTGACTGAAAACTCCTGCACAATTTTCGCTCAAAGTAAAGTTGTAGGCGAAACTAAAATTTTGAAGTTAAAATATTTTGGCTTCTAAAGACTAAAATCTGAAACTTTCCGATAAGCTAAAATTAAGATGAAATTGGCAAAACTGAACGATATTGGCAGAACTTTCTAATATTGGTAAAACCTTCTGAAACTTCTCAGATCATGTGATATAAATAGTTAACCAATCAAAATAAATGCTAATTTAATTTTTTATAGTGATAAAAATGAAACGCGTAAAAAAGGAATATAAAAAAAAAGTTTTTTTTCGTGTTTTCTTTTCTTTTTAAAAAAAAGAAAAATATGAGTTTTTTGTATTTTTCTTTGAAAGAAACAAGTGTTTTTCTTGTATTTTTTTTTTTTTAAATGTCTTTTGCTGAAGAATCTCCACCTATAGATATATCACATAATGAAACACCACTTATATCAAAAAATAAAGGAGGCAAGCCAAGTTGATTTAGTTGAAGTAAATATGTAAAGAAGCTTAATGAAATTAGTCCTTCGCATTGGCGTGCAGAATATCTTTTATGTTATATTATTTGGCCCAAAGGTTTACCTCAAAAAATTGAAATACATTTAACTTTTGAGTGTCAGAAAGCTGAACCTTCAGTTAGAGATTTTTTTTTACAACAATTAGCGGTTAAAACTATCGATCAAGATTTAACTGAAACAAATATACATAAAAAAAGAAAAAGATATGATAGTATTAGACAAAAAAAAATTACTGAGTTTGAAAGTGCGAAGGATCAAATCAATCATATTTTAGTTAAAGCATTTGTTATCTGTGAAATTCCATGGCATATTATAGAGAACTCTTTCTTTATTGGATTTTTAAAAACATTAAAATTATCATATCTACTATTTAGTAGAAAAGTTTTATCTGGAGACTGTTAGTGCAAAAAATAGCTGTAGTTAATCAACAAGTAATTAAAAATTTAACAAATCAAAAAAATTTAACCTTAAGTAAGTTATTCTTTATGTAAGTTATTTCTTATTTATTTTTATAAATTATAATTTTTAACAATTTTCTTTATATAATTAGCATGTGATAGATGGTCAAATCTCACAAATAAATCAATCTGAAATTTTATAATACATACTCTAGATCATCGAAAATATCTTTGGAATCTTAGAAATTTATCTGATCATTGTTATACAATGGATTTTCTAGCTGAACAAATTGAAGAAGTAATTGATAAAATTGGAGCAAACAAATTTTCTGCGATTTTAAGTGATGTCAGCACTAACATTAAGCTTGTTCGCTATCATATTACTGAAAAATATCCATATATGTTAAATATAAGATACATTGCTTACGCAATTAATCTTATTTCTAAAGATATATGTAGAATATCATTTGCTAATAGAATTTTAAGTCAGTGTATGATATTGGTTAAATATTTTAAAATAAGTCATCTTTCAGGTAATATTTTATAATTATATAATAACAATTATAAATTATTTCTTACTTAATATTTAAAATATGTTTTTTAGGACAAACACTTAAAGATCTTTCTATTGAATCAGGAGTTGAAGGCAAAGGATTAAAAAAATGGATAAATACAAGATGGTATATAATGTATGATTGTGTAAAATCTATAATACACTATCGGATTCCTTTAGAAACTGTAAATATTAATTAATAATAATTTATTATTAAAATAAATTTTTTTATTAAATTAAAAATAT